TTTTTTTTTTTTGTCCAGTTTCCCTCCTGAAAGGTTGCTGGTTCGAACCCTTCCCCCCCGTTGGCAAACACTTGTGGCCTCCAGTAGAGGAGTGTTCACAGGTCTTCAGCTCAGTGGGATGCCAAGTGTGTGCCAGGGATTTGTTCGCATCCTTCTTTTATGTGTGGGTTTTTAACAACATTTCACCTCATGAAAAATGAAACAATAACATTTTATTTAGTGTTTTCAAGCATATCAAAATGTAAGAAATACAAAATAATTATCAGAATCACCATTTATAAAAAGCTCTGTTAATAATGAGCAGTTATGTCGCAGCTAATCACATTGCAACGCTCTGTCCAGCTCTTGAGTTTACCAGGTATACACACGTTAGAAATAACCTCTTTCAGAGACGCTATGGAGAGATTAGTAACTGCAAACTGAGGTTTTAGAAAGTCAACTAATAATAATAATCATACAAATAATATACTTTCTTTATTCAGCGAATTTCTAAACAACGTTACAAAGAACTTTGCATGGTCAAACCAGTAACAAAGACATTTCAGGACTATATGAACATAAAATGGACATAAAATGCCCAAAAGTAATGTAAAAATAAAAAACTGTTAACGTTAAAAAGATGACACGTTGGAAATACAATGATGTGCTTGCATTAATAAAAACAAGTTTAAAGGATAATGTTTTGAGAAGTGATTTAAAAGATGTCAGTGGTTCTGCAAGAACTCTGATCCTCAAGCAGAGCTCCCGGGCCTGATGTGATTGTGTCTTTGAAGGCGTCTGTCTCAGGTATTGAAAGCGCTGAGCATTGGTAAATGACTCTAACGTGATTGTGTTTTTTGGCTCTCTCTGCAGGACCCGCTGGATCCCGGTCGTTGCGTGATGGTGATCCGGTCTCTGGTCCCCGGCGGCTCGGCAGAACGCCACAGCGGTTTGCTCCCCGGGGACCAGCTGGTGTCGGTCAACCAGACCCAGCTGGACCCGCTGACCCTGGACCAGGCCTTGGAGGTCCTGAAGTCCGCCCCGCCCGGCACAGTCCGCCTGGGCATCCGCAAGCCTCTGTCTGTGGTACGTCTGCTACACCTTCTGGTTTCTCATGAATGAAGATTGTTTTTATTCAGGTGCTGCTTCTTGTTGTTGATGAGAGTCTGAACTGTCTGTGCAGGTGCAGGGACCAGAGAGGATCAGCCAGGTGTATCTCAACAACACACAACTGCCCGTACCAAAGGTAACACTCACACATTTTATGACCCCCGTCCACATCCTTAATAGTACTGTCAACTAACCGGTCAAATTTGAGAGGCTGGAACAAGAAACAAGAGTAGGAAAACCTGAGGAGAAATCCACAGATGAATACATTTTCTCTTTGAAGTTTAACAGTGGCAGCCCGTGTCTGTCTGTCATTCTTGGTCACGCGGTGGTATTTCAGACGACAGTCTGCAACTAGAAAATGCATTTCCTGCTGAAAATGCATTGGAAAGCTGAAATTAATTGTAAAATAATTGCTGAAAATTAAGAAATGGGAGACTACCTGTCTGAAAAATGTTGAAGCTTGAAAGCATTTAAACTGCACTGCGGAAAACCCTTCTAGTTGAAATGTCTAACTATGGTGTCTGTAGCTGAAAGTATGAGAAGAAGAAGGCTTTGAAAGTTGAAGAAGTTTAACAGGATTTGAAGATTTTCTCCATAGAGATCCCATTAAAAAAAATTGCAAATAGCTTAATATTTCAAAAAGTTAAAAGATTACAAATATGAAAAGTCAAAGCACCCCTCTCCTGAAAGAGCTGAACATTTTGAAAGGGAAAAGTCCTGTAGTGATATTTGTAGTAGTGGAAGTTGTAGTTGTAGTAGAAGTATTAGTAGAAGTATTAGTAATTAGAAGAAGTAGTAGAAGTAGTAGTATCAGTAGTAATAGCTGTAGTATTGGTTGTAATATTTAATATAACAGTAGTAGTAGTAGAAGTAGTTATATTAGTAATAGTAATGGCAGTAGAAGAAGTAGCAGTAGTAGTAGTACTAGTAGCAGTTGTACTAATAGCCGTAGTAGTAATACTACTTGTAGTAGCATGAATAGCAGTAGTAGTAGTAGCAGTTGTAGTATAAGTAATAGTAGTAGTGGTAGTAATAGCAGTGGTGGTAGTAATAATATTGATGGTAGCAGTAATAGTAGTAGTAGTAATAGTAGCAACAGCAAAAGTTATAGTAGAAGTAGTAGCAGTAGTAGTAGTAGTAGTAATACTATATTAGCAGCAGCAGTAGTAGTTGTCGCAGTATTAGTCAGAGCATTACGTTTTTCAACAAAAAAGCCTAATTTTGAGCTTACCGTTTAAATACAGTTAATCCATGAGGCTTTTATTTTGAAAGAGTGGGGCTGGGTGGGGGAGAAAGGAGAGGAGACAGAATCAGAATGTATGAAACACAGAGGTTATTAAATGACAGTCTTCATTAAAAGCATTCCAGTTAGATTTCACTCTGTGGGGCTTTTATTTTGAAAGGGTGGGACTGGGTGGGGGAGAAGAGACAATCATAATGTTTGACACAGATAAACAGAGGTTATTAAATGACAGGCTTCATCACAAGCATTTCAGGTAGAGTTCACTCTCTGGGGCTTTTATTTTGAAATGGGGTGGGGGGG